ATAAATGACTCAAGGGGAAGGACCCATATGGGGAAAAAAGTGTAGTAAAAGGTAGAAAAAACCCAAATATTGAAAATAGAAATTCCGCAGGAAATAGCAAACAAGAGGACTCAAATAGCAATAGTGAGGATAAATTACCAAAAACAACTGGTGGGAGCTCCATTGTTGGTGTAGGGAGGATAGAAGAAAGAAGGGAAAACATCACCAAAGGGAAAAACAGCCCAAAAACCCCAAGGGCAAGCGGAAACCAGCCTGTGACATCTATGATTGGTACTGTTTTGGCATGGGAAATTGGGAAAAAAACGTGGGAGTGCAATTGACCCCCCTGAAAATCCCATCCCCATATGACAACGGGAAAAATGCAAACCCCCTTCCTGTAAGTTTTTTTCCCCCTAAAATGTGTACCTCTTCAGTACAGGAAAGACTGTGCTATAATTTAAAATTTTGCCGGGCATCCCATCTAAAGGGGACAAAAAGATAAAAAAACATCCAGGCCAGGGGAAAAAAACCTGGGTAGCCACAGCCACTAAGAGGGAGATTTTTTTTTAGTGCCGGGAAAAAAAAAAAACTGGCGGAAAATGGCAGAAATCGTAACCAAACCAGTCATTCCTGGGGGGAACCCAAGTGTGGCCTCCCTAAAACCAACAGATAAGATACTAACCCGGAAAAAAAAACCCCCCCCCCCCAGTAAAAACAATCCCCCAAAGTCCGATAACATTCTTTTTTTGCAAATACAGGGTCAAAAGCCAGCAACAAACAACAAAATCCCTTTCATCCGGGGATGTTCAGAGGCAAAGGCAATGTTGGGCTTTACTGAAACCCAAAAAGGTCATTTGGGACAATGAATTTTGGACCCCAGGTTAAAACCCTATCAATGTGACAGAGGAACAGGAAAAGGGGGGGGGGATGGCCTGTACATTGCAGAGTATTGTTTGCACAGAACTGTTTAATGCCTCAAAGGGGATAGTGGAATTTTACAGAAAAGGTCAAAACCAAAAAACCTGTATTGTGGTGTCAAGCCCCCGGATGCAACATCCAGCAATTCAGGAACAGCTGTTAAAAATTGACCACGTCGGGAAAAATTTCCAGCCCCTGACCCAACATCTTGCCCCGGGGGTTTTCAATTTAAAGGCACCTAAAAGGGGGAAATATGCAAATAATTTTGTTGCGTAAAACCCAGGAGGCCTTGTTGAAAACTACACTCCACGGTTTTTTAAATTCTCCCCAAAAAAATTAATTTAAACCACCCAAAAAATAGACCCACTGACTGGAGAATACACTAACCTCATATTCATAACATGATGTCTGATAAGAAATGTCACCAATCAAAAACAAAAATAGTCAAACTAATTGGGGTGCAGTAAAGAACAGCAAAGAATACAGCCCAATAGCACAAACCCCATATCATAAAAATCTTTAAAGGGCCCTAAGAACAAGACACCACGATCTAAAACCCATCTTACCCCCCAGGGCAACGGGGTTTTAGAACGGTCGCTTGTCTGTCTCAACTTTGGACCACTACGACAAGGCCCCTAAATGCACTAGAAAAAAAAAAAAAATGCAGATTAATATATCAGACTTTGCAAAACCCTTGACAAGTGGCCCATGGGAATAGGCACAAAAGCGTGCTAAAGGGAAATAAAGGAAAAGTCGGTCGATGGATCTATTTTCCCTCATAACAGAAAAGAGAGGTCGTCAACAGAGTAAGTCGAGGCAGCTGGGTAAAAAACTCTTTTCCCAAAGGGCACGTACTCGCCCCCTCTTGTTCCTCATCCTTATATCCGACATAGAAAAGGGAAATGTCACCCACAGCCCCCGTGTCTTTTTGCAGTGACACCGAATTTTGGACGTGTTTTCCCATTGCAGACACTGAAAAGCCCCGGGCAGACATCAACCAAATCTTTCAGTGGGCTGCAGAAAAAATATGAAGTTCAACGTTGAGAAATTTAATTACTCAGAATGGTAAACATGAGGAAATTAAATTTTCATCAAGTACAAAACAAATTTGGCCACAAAATGGGGAAACACCAAGTCAAAGCCTGGGAGTGATATGTCGGGGATTCCCCTTCAAGGACCATAACACTGTACAATGCATCTGCTAGAAAAAATGACGGTGGAAAATGAGAACCTTAAAAATGGGGGGGCCAACCCCGATGAAACTTTTCAGGTCATTGTTCTATCTGGGCGGGAAATATTGCTGCACACTAACAGCACCTTTCAAGGAGGTGAAATTGCCGCCCTAGAAAATGTACAGAGAACTTTCACGGCGGCATAAGAGATAAAACCCTCAATTATTGGGAGCGCTTGGGGTTTCCTAAACCTGTATTCCCTGGAAGCGGAGGGAAGATCATGATTTAACCCTGGAAAATTAGAGGGACTGAAAGAATTTGCCACAAAATCACCCACTACGAAAGAAAAAGATTTGGGAAAGACGTGCCACCCTCCCAATAAAAAGCGGGGTGTACTAGCCGTTAAGAGCCCTACAATAAGTGTCAGGGGCCCAGCTGTTAAAACGCCCCCCAGCACACATAAGGGGGATTCCAAACAACCCCGGGCAGTTTCAAGCGGGGCAGGCAAGCACCAAAAGTCTTTCCCGGATCAGGGGGTGTGGTTATTTTGGGTTTTGCTGCAGCGCAGCAACACCGGGGTTATCAGGTCTGATCCCCCCAGGAGGCCGGTCTCAGCCCGGGGGCCCGCGGGGGGTTCCCCAAAACTCTCCAGGAAAAAACTCCAGGTATGTTGCGAGGAGCCCAGACAAAAAAAATGAGATATCCCGGGGGGAGATTCACCCAAAAAAACAACTTCAATAACAAAAACAAAAGTGGGACCCAAATAAAACCCAAATCCTAACCCATATAAATGGGAAAATATACTAGCAACACAGACCCAAATTATGCCCGAACAGATTAACCGGTGGCACTCGATGTTGCACAAGGCTTTTTCCCCTAAGAAAAAGGAGGGGGTAGATGTAAAAAAGAAAGGAAAGGCGCTCCTTTTTCAGGAGCGGAAAAAAATAAACAGAGCGGCTAAAAGAGGGCAATTATCTGAAATGGAGGGAGCACTGGTCAGAGAAATGAGCATCGAACTTTGCTAAAAACCTTTAGGAGTCAGGAATGCGGGAAGAACAAAAGATAAATGAAACGAAAGAAACCCAAAGTATTTTTTCCCTATGCCAAATCAAAATCAGAAAACCCCCCAGTATTGGGGCCACTTAAAAAGTGGGCCCCCACAATGACAGCAAGAAATGAGTGAGTACTCAAGTCCCCCAAAATGACTAGTTTTTGAACCCCTAACCAGATGAGAGTCGAAAATCAAAAAGAATTTTTTTATGGGAGCCCCAAAAAATTTTATTAAAAAAGCCCATCCGATTTATTGGCCCAAATGCTTCGAACAGGCGATAAATGACATGCCCCTGCACTCGCCCAGGGCCAGACTATGGAACTCGTGTTCCTCAAGAACTGCAGAAACCCCATCACGAGCCTTTTCCCCTATGGAGGGGAGCATGGCAGGGGGGTCCCTCAGTTATAAAACAACAGACATAGCCCCACTCCCAAAAGGGGGGAGTAAGCAACAGCAAAGAATACAGACCAATAGCCTAAACCCCTATCATAAAAATTTTGAAAGGGTCCCCAAAAAGCAGATCACCCCCCCAAACTGAAACCCTCATTTCACACCCAGGGCAAAAAGGGGGGTTTTGAAAAAGGGGTTGTCGTTCAACTATGGATCATACGACAAGGTCCCAAAGACTAGAAAACAAAAAGAATGCAGATGTAATTTATACAGACTTTGCAAAAGCCTTCGACAAGTGTGACCATGGCGTAAAGCGCACAAAATGCGCGCTAAAGGTAACAGGAAAAGTCGGCGATGGGTCTATAATTCCTCACTAAAGAAACAGAGAGTATCGTAAAGAGTAAAAATCCGAGGGAGCTACGGTGAAAAGCTCTGTTCCCCCGGCACAGTACTAGTCCCACTTTTTCCTCTCCTCTATCGACATAGACAAGGATGTCGCCCGCCCGGTTTCCTTTGCGATGACACCCTTTAAAAAAAAAAAAAAAAAATTTTTTTTAAAAAAAAAAAAAAAAAATTTCAAATGTCATGGAAATTAAACTCCAGGACAAACAAATTCTGGCCAAAAAAAAAAAAAGTCAAAGATGGGAGAAATTTAAAATTCTATTAAGGAACCCTAAAATTTTCTCATCGAGAAAAAAAAATTTTGGCCAAAATAAAGGCCACCCCAAAGACCTTTGGGGATTTTTTTGGGGGAAATTTTTCACCCCAGACCCTTTTAAATGAAAAGCGCTAGAAAAATGAAGGAATTTGGGGATAAGAGAAAAAAACCTCAAAATGGAGGAGGCAAATGACCCCCGGGGGGGACTGTTTTTTCACCGGAAATTGGGGGTGCAAATTCCCAAAAAACACCCTTTTAAAGCAAAGATTGCGACAGAATCCCCAAGAAAAGCAGGGGTGTCACTAGCACGTTAAGAGACCATACAATAAGTGTCAGGGGCCCGAGACTGTTCAACTGCCTCCCAGCACACATAAGGGGGATTACCAACAGACCCCTGGCAGTCTTCAAGCTGGCACTGGACAAGCACCTAAAGTCAGTTCCTGATCAGCCGGCTGTGGCTCGTACGTTGGTTTGCGTGCAGCCAGCAGCAACAGCCTGGTCGATCAGGCGCTGATCCACCAGGAGGCCTGGTCACAGACCGGGCCGCGGGGGCATTGACCCCCGAAACTCTCTCCAGGTAAACTCCAGGTCTCTCCAGTTTTACCAAAGACAAAATTGAAAATAAAACCATTTGATTTAAAGACTTGTATTGCAGATCATGACTATTTTAGAGGTTTCTTCCAGGATTCAGATTTGAAAAAGCTATCCTGAGATAAATATCATCTAAATAAAGGGATGGTCTACTGTGTATCTTTATACCCACTCGTCAGCTTTTAAACCCATTCCCACATCCTGAACTGTATTCATAAAATTGCACATTTTGATAACTGACTCACAAATGATCAAAGAGCTGGAGGTAGGGAGAGCCTCGGAGCCAGGCCAGGGCACCGTCTTTGAAAAGGAGGTGCCGATGAGCGGACTTGAAGATGCAAGCTCCCACACTGTCAAGTCGCTGTACCTCGTAGGAACCCCACATAAGCATAGTCAGAGTTCTTCAGTGCCAATGTTCGTAACTCAATAATCGACTTCTTCAGCGTATCCGTGTAAGGTTCAATGAGTGCCTTATAGTACACAAGGAAATTTTGGTTCTGCAATAAGAACGGTAAAAGTTTTATAGTTATATTTCTCATACATCATTTGCATGTTAATGACAGTGTTCATTTTATTAAACCTTGTTTTTGCAATCAGAATATCAAGTGTTCTAAAATATTCTAACAACAGGCTTCAAAATTCTATTTAAGAGTATAATTAAAAGTTAACTTAATCTTCTTTCAATAAAAACCGGCCGTATCCCACCAAGGCAGGGTGGCCCAAAAAGAAAAACTAAAGTTTCTCTTAAATTTAGTAATTTATACGGAAGAAGGGGTTACTAGCCCGTTGCTCCCGGCATTTTAGTCGCCTCTTACAACACGCATGGCTTATGGAGGAAGAATTCTGTTCCACTTCCCCATGGAGATAAAGAGGAATAAACAAGAACAAGAACTAGAAAGAAAATAGAAGAATACCTAGAAGGGTGTGTATATATTTGCTTGTACATGTATGTTAGTGTGACCTAAGTGCAAGTAGAAGTAACAAGACATACCTGAAATCTTGCATGTTTATGAGACAGACAAAAGACACCAGCAATCCTACCATCATGTAAAACAATTACAGGTTTTCGTTGTACACTCACTTGGCAGGACGGTAGTACCTCCCTGGGTGGTTGCTGTTTACCAACCTACTACCTAGGAGTTAAACTTAATACAGCCATCATTTTATCCCATTTATTAACATAATTGTGCCCCCAAGATCGCAAAGCAGGTAGAGTTCTTATTGAAGTTATTAATTAAAAATTATAAAACAGTTTAAGCCTTAAATGCCAGTATTTTAAAAGTTGATTACAAACCATATAAAGAATCAATACATTTGAATTCTCTCACAGTCACTCCAAGCTCGCATCATCTACACCTCACCGAGAAAAAATGTTTATTAAATATAAGGATAACCACTTCACTATGCTCTCACACGAGCCCATCATTTTAAGGTAAATGGATACATTTGCAACATTTTGTTTGCAGATGTTTCATCAAGCATCAAAGTGCATTAACAGAAAAAAATGGAATAAAATAAACTCGTGTAACATGAAACACTTATCACTAGCTGTGTGCCAGCAGCTCTGGAGAGAACGCACCACATGCTGAAAGATAGTCTTGTCTGATCTGGCCTGGTGTAGATAGTACTGCGTACTTTGTCCCAAAGTTTGTAGGGTCGAGCTTCCTGTGGTCTAAATATTATACATATTTTTTTTCAATGCGTCAGCCGTCTCCCACCGAGGCAGGGTGACCCAAAAAAGAAAACACTTTCACCATCATTCACGCATAATCACTGTCTTTGCAAAGGCGCTCAGATACGACAGTTTAGACGTCCCGCCAAACAGCCAATATCCCCAAACCCCCCCTTTAAAGTGCAGTCAATGTACTTCCCACACCAGCTAACTGGTTTCCCTGAATCCCTTCACAAAATATTATTCTGCTTACAATCCAATAGCTCGTCAGGTGCCAAAAACCATTCATTCCCCTTTACTCCTATCTAACACGCTCACACATTCATGCTGTATATCCAAGCCCCCTTGCATACAAAACCCCTTTTACCCCCTCCATCCTCTCCTAGGACGACCCCAACCCCTACCCCTCCTCCCTTCCACTACAGATTTATACACCCATCCTATTTTTCTCCATCCTCTCTAGCTGTGGTGGAGTCAGGGCCCACAAATAATTTTAAGAGCAGGTAAACCCTAGGGTCCATGAAGCTAGAAGGGAGTGGAGGTAAGCAGAAATAAAACACAGAAAAATGTCAGTTAATCTGACCAAACATAAGCAATCGTGACTTATCTGACTTTCTGCCTACCCAAAACTAACTTTTCTTCTGCAACTTCTTTTCCTATGACTTTTTTTTTTGTCCAGATTCAATCTGGCAAATGGCAAGTTTAAGATGCAGGGACAGGAGCCAAGACTCAACCTCTGCAATCACATACTGGTATTACATGTGAATACACATTCAAACGTACATACCTAAGTTCATGAAAAAAAAAATATGCACATATATATACAGTGGTCCCCCCCGAGTTTCGTGATTAATCCGTTCCAGAGAGCCTGCCGAAAGTCGAAATTCACGAAACTCGAAACCATTTTCCCCATAAGAAATAATGGAAATAAAATTAATCCATTCCAGACACCCAAAAATATTAAAATAAAATATTTTTTTCAAATTAAATAAAGATTTATATACTGAAATCAATGAGAAATCAAGTACATGCATATAAAAAATAATAATAACATTACACTTGCCTTTACTGAAGACTTCTGGGTGGATGGAAGACGGGAGGAGGGGATAGGAGGAAGGTGTACACTATTGTTTGGAAGGAGAATCTCCTTCCATTAGTAGGACTTTAGGTTGCAAGTCCTTATCTGGGCTTACTTCCCTTCTTTTTTTAATGCCACTGGGAACAACTTGAGTCACTGGACCCCTGTCGCACAAAATATCTGTCCAGAGAGGTCTTTTTCTGGCGTTTCTTTAAGATTTCCCTGAAGTGGGACACAACACTGTCATTGTACATGTTGCAGATATGGCTTGTTTCAGCTTGGTCAGGGTGATACTTTTCAACAAAACTTTGCAACTCATTCCACATATGTCCTTAATCACTGAAGAAGGAACCTCCTTCACTCTTTTCCTCCTCCTCCGAAGCAAGTTCCTCAGCTGTGGTCTGATGCTGTTCCAGTTGAAGCTCTAGCAGTTCGTCAGTGGTTAGCTCTTCCCTGTGGTCCTCCACCAACTCTTCCACATCCCAGTCACTCACCTCCAACCCCATGGACTTGCCCAATGCCACAACACCTTAAGATAAGATAAGATAAGATTTCGTTCGGATTTTTAACCCCGGAGGGTTAGCCACCCAGGATAACCCAAGAAAGTCAGTGCGTCATCAAGGACTGTCTAACTTATTTCCATTGGGGTCCTTAATCTTGTCCCCCAGGATGCGACCCACACCAGTCGACTAACACCCAGGTACCTATTTGCTGCTAGGTGAACAGGACAACAGGTGTAAGGAAACGTGTCGAAATGTTTCCATCCGCCGGGAATCGAACCCGGGCCCTCCGTGTGTGAAGCAGGAGCTTTAGCCACCAGGCCACCACAACAGGCAGAGGGTCAGCAGGGACAGGGTCTGCCTCAAACCCTTCAAAATCCCTCTGGATCGTGTTCCTCACTTTATTTACCAAAGGGCTTGCACTAGCTTTCCTTGGGTCCATGATGACTTATTTAGCAGTTGCAAGGACAAAAAACAATGGATTATTATGAAATGTATTGTATGAACCCGCGGGGTGATGGTCACGTGTTCAAATTCAAATTCAAATTCAAAGTTTATTATCTATAAGGATTACAATGCTGAGTTTACAGAATTTGGCTATTGTGTGGTTTACATGTAGTAAAATAATAATTACAGCGTGTACCACTAGAACACCTAGCATGGCTAGGCATTTCAGGCAGACTTAAATTAAATCTTAAGTTTAAAATATTACAAAATTATGAGGTAAGTTGGTATTATGGCTAAGTGACTAAATACTTGTTTGTGAGTTTAGCAATGTGAATGCTTTTGTTTTGGCACTATACATAGTTTCAGTATTGGAGTATCACAGGCCAACTTATGACTAGTTAAGATTCATTATTTTGAAATTGAGATTGATATTTCTGTTTATGGTCAAATGGGTGAGTGAGTGTAAGTGTTAACCGGTGGCCGGTGGCCCGGTGGCTTGGTGGCTAAAGCTCCCGCTTCACACACTGAGGGCCCGGGTTCGATTCCCGGCGGGTGGAAACATTTCGACACGTTTCCTTACACCTGTTGTCCTGTTCACCTAGCAGCAAATAGGTACCTGGGTGCTAGTCGACTGGTGTGGGTTGCATCCTGGGGGACAAGATTAAGGACCCCAATGGAAATAAGTTAGACAGTCCTCGATGACGCACTGACTTTCTTGGGTTATCCTGGGTGGCTAACCCTCCGGGGTTAAAAATCCGAATGAAATCTTATCTTATCTTATCTTAACCACCAGGTGGTATTCGTGTAATTAGTTGACAGGGTGTATCAGGGAGATAAGATGTTTTCTGATGGTAGTTTTGAAGGTGGTAAACAATGGCACACTGAGCGTGAATGGCGTGGGAGACTGGCTTGGTGTGCGCGGTGACGGGCGGACAGGTACCGGACGGTTGCCGAAACACGAGTCTAATCACGAAATTCGAGACCAAATTTTGCCAAAAAAACTCGCCAAAGGTCGAATTTCATGAAAGTCGAGGCTGCCGAAACTCGAGGGTCCACTGTATATTTCCTAGGTAGTAGGTTGGTAAACAGCAACTGCCCAGGGAGGTACTACCATCCTGCCAAGTGAGTGTAAAATGAAAGCCTGTAATTGTTTAACATGATGGTAGGATTGCTGGTGTCTTTTGTCTGTCTCATGAACATGCAAGATTTCAGGTACGTCTTGCTACTTCTACTTACACTCATGTCACACTACACATACGTGTACAAGCATATATATACACAACCCTCTGGGTTTTCTTCTATTTTCTTTCTAGTTCTTCTTCTTGTTTATTTCCTCTTATCTCCATGGGGAAGTGGAACAGAATTCTTCCTCCGTAAGCCATGCGTGTTGTAAGAGGTGACTTAAATGCCAGGAGCAAGGGGCTAGTAACCCCTTCTCCTGTATATATTACTAAATTTAAAAGGAGAAGCTTTCGTTTTCCCTTTGGGCCATCCCACCTCAGAGGGATACGGCTGGTACACTGAAAGAAGAATATATATATTTCGCATCACTAGAATTTTATGACAATCCTGCATTATTCCTGCTGCGTGCTGTGGCAGGGCTGGGCTTAGGAAGTACCTTCTTTGGATCGTATAGTGACTGAAGAAGTATAGTTTACCGGTACTCCACGTTTTTTCCTGTTAATATTCACAGAGGCTTAAGAAGACTCCGGATGAGCGAAACGCAACTTAAATAAATATTTAAATGCTCCAAATGTGTCCATTTACCTAAATTAACTGTCATTATATTTATGATGATCATACTCTGAAGAAACCCACCTTGAAGAACTCCTCAAGCATCGAACCCTTTTGTATGCCGAGTCGATATTTTTGGAGCTGTTTTAGGTCTTCCAAGGTGTCAAAAGGAAGTTGGTCATTAACTACGGTCAGGAAGGAGACTAGCGTGGCTGAGTACGCTGCCATTACCACCAAACCAATCACGTACATCATCCAGAACAGTATTCGCAAAACACCCGCATCAGGAGAATTGGGCCAACCTGAAAAAATGGAGAGGAATTATGCAAAAATGCAATGCACATAAAGGGCTCAAGGATCTGGAACTCTTTACCCGAAGTAGCAAGAGGTCCCCTGCCCACAAATCAATTTAGGACTATATTTAAAAATCATCTGGTCTCTCAATAAAAACCATACCCACACTGCTAATCTCTAACCAAAATTGAGGCAACTCTCCCAAATACTTTGTTATTCCTTAACTACTGTTGTATCTGGGCACCTCTGTAAAGACAGTGATTATGTATGAGTGAGGTGAAAGTTTTGAATGATGAAAGTATGTATTTTCTTTTTTGGGGATTTTTTCTTCTTGGGTCACCCTTCCTCGGTGGGAGACAGCAGACTTGTTGAAAAAAAAAACTATTAAGCCATTATTACAAACTTAATGTAGGGCTATCATAAATTGCACTACCTCGTATTAATAATAGAGTAAAATATTGAATATCTGTAATTTACCACTCTTCACCTGTCTAGACTTAAGTAGTCTAAGTACCAGGTTGTCTCCCCGAAATGCCTCGGCATGATAGTGGCTTTCTTGGTATCAATCAAATTATGAAATGGAAACACACATCGTAATGTTTGCAAAGAAATACATTTTTATTTTGATTGGATTTTTATCAGAGGCAGCAACCTTGACGTAGTGGAGGGCAGAGGGCGTTTCAGTTGTACCAGTGATACAGCGGCTATCAGTGGCTGCATTTGTACTTTACTGGCAGATGAGACCTTTCCTACTGTAATGAAGCTGATGACAAGCCTGAATGGCTGTTTCCACGTGGAAAGCAGCCCAGACCAATACGAAAGTGGGTTGGGGATGATGAGAAATGAGCTCTGCATCGGCGTGAGCAATTTTCTCACTCCAGAGCTCCCTAGATAAAGAATCTCGCCCAACGACCCGCAATCAGTTTTTTGTATTATATATGGTTGTACTTAGTTTCTTGTTCCAATCTGCTAAAAAAAATAGACACTTTACCAAAGGCAGATCAGAGTATGACCAGTAAGCCAGTGTTTTCTTTGCCATGGTCTGCCAGAGGGCCAATAGCTATCACATTAACAACTACGTTAGTATATAACACCATTTATAGAACCGCATGCCGCCCTAGTGCCAACGACATCAGTGACAAAACCGTATCAGTCTATATGGTTGAGTGGTTAATGCAACAATACTGAAGAGACGCATTATATCCGAGTCAAATTATCTGGAATTTCTCCTATTAATAGGTGTAAGGCATTTTTGTGCCACAAGACTTTTTTTCCTCTATTTTGGTCTATATCTGCAGAGCCCGATTCAAAGTATTTCCCTAAGATGGAGAGACTGGAAATCCACTTGTGATGTATATTTACTGATACAGTAGTTAGAGTACATGACAGAGATGTCGGGGGTCTATGAGCAAAAATCATTATTATTATTATTATTATTGTTGTTGTTGTTAGAAAGTCCCAAGCCATCTTCGAATTAGTGTGGCACGCCCCCCCAAAACGTAATTTATAGTTGCTAGATCAGTTTTTTCTTCGAAGGTTTTCGTTTGTAACTTGAGAACAGCTCATTCGATAAGCTTCAGATTTTCAATGCTCTTGTACTTCTTTCGTCACAAACAAAGCTTCGCCTTGAAACCAAGAATAATGCATTTAAAAGGAGAGTAAACCACGACTTTGTTATCGTCCGATTTCATTTTTTTTTTTAGAATCAGCATACATGAAAGTATTGCTATAAAAAAGACTTATTAATAAGATCAGCCAACACTCCTCCACAAATTATGAATGTTGATGCTCTGTTCACCAATCCACTGTTGTACAATGATGGCTCTCATTCAGAAATTCGAGCATGCATCAGCAACTGCGCTTCTTCTCTTCAAACTGAACTGCTTGTCATACTCTTTGTACTCAAATGCGTTTATGTATCTAAGACTGACACCTTAATTTACCTGATTATCTATCATTTATAAATGCTCTCAACTCCACTAGTGTCAAATGTGCATCCATAAATGCTCTTCCCTTTACGAGAACTCTTGTGTGTGAGTTGTGACTAGGGATATACCTAGTAAAACACTGGAATTAGTTTTCCGTTTTGAAAAGGCCCTCACAGGCCTCTGCTTTCCCTCTTCCTTTCATTTTGCCTCAGCCTTTCGTCTCTATCAACATACAGTGTAGAGGTGAATTTTGCTAGTCCACTGCTACTCGTGCCTCTGAAAATGCGCACAGCTCATCTTTACCAACTGAGGAATAACGACGAGTGTGCAGTCCTACGTGAGTTGGCAACCCAGGTGTGCACACACACTGAAAATTCGTCTTTCATTCCAAGACAAGTGTGCTAGAAATTCTGCAGGTTTGGAGTGAGTAACTACTTGCACGAGTATTGCAGTGTTTGGTAACTCTTGAGAAGTCTGCCTCAGTCAGTGACCTTGAGCGAGGCACTGCATCACCTGCCTGGGACTTTCGCTTATATTGGCTATGTGAAGAGAGGCGAATGTGCGTGCTCAGTTACCCCTGCTATTCTCCTGTATCCCCCAACTCTCCGCCTTTAAACTCAGCCGTTCGCCTCTATCAACGTGTAGTGTTGAGACGTATTTTGCTGCTCCGCTGGTACTCGAATATCTGAGTTCCGCACAGCTAGTCACCTCTGCCTACCTGAGAAATATGGACGAATCTCCCATCCTGCATGAGTTACGAATGTTTCTCCTGTGTGCCTACCTGCCTGCTACAAGCAAATATCCAAGTGGTTGACACGGGCTTGGCAAGCACATTCGTCTCTATTTACTTATGGTCTAGAGGCGGTTTTTGCCAGACCACATAAGTACTTGAGTGCCCATGTCAGTCCTCTGTGCCGCACTCCACTCATCTTACGAATGTGTCTCCTGTGTGCCTACCTGCCTGCTACAAGCAAATATCCAGGCGGTTGACACGGGCTTAGCAAGCACATTCAAGCAAGCTTGAAAGCAGCACTAAAAGCTAGCCAGAACAAGCTAAGGCAGCCTGCAGTTATAGCTGTCCTAAGGCCCAGCATGTCTATGTATACGTCCTACAGTGCTGCTGGCAAACCAGTGTTTCCTGTAGTGGCTTAGTTAAGAACAATTTAACGAGCATTGCAGTACTGACATTTTAAGTGGGACATGCCAGAGGTTCACTTATAAACATAGTAAGTTTGTGGTGATTTGCTTGTACACAGTGAACATTCATCTGTCATACGTGTGCTAGAAGTGTTAAGTGCTGTTTTCCCCAACAGTTAATTGTCATTTGTAAGCCTGTATTAAGACTTTAAAAGGCTCCGAGTGTACTTCAGTGTAGTGACTCCTTACATTTGATAACTCAAGTGTAATACATGCTCTGCTCAGTGTAACTGAACTATTAAATACTGTTACATAATTAAGTTGCTTGTCCTAGTGTCATTGTTGTGTTTTCTAATACATTTTCTCGTTCAGACAAGATAAGATAAGATTTCGTTCGGATTTTTAACCCCGGAGCGTTAGCCACCCAGGATAACCCAAGAAAGTCAGTGCGTCATCGAGGACTGTCTAACTTATTTCCATTGGGGTCCTTAATCTTGTCCCCCAGGATGCGACCCACACCAGTCGACTAACAGCCAGGTACCTATTTGCTGCTAGGTGAACAGGACAACAGGTGTAAGGAAACGTGTCGAATGTTTCCACCCGCCGGGAATCGAACCCGGGCCCTCCGTGTGTGAAGCGGGAGCTTTAGCCACCAGGCCACCGGACTGAAACTTTACTGCTAAATTCCCAGTAATATTTCAAATTGCAGTGTTCATCTGTGGTGTGAGTGTGTAACTTATGCTTTGTATTTTTACTTGATAACACTTGTCATACATAGTAACGCGTGTGTAAGTGAGATTGTTTAGGTACTGGTTCATCTATCTACAGCTGCACACTTATGCTTGCATACATATATAACATAGTAACGTGTGAGTTACCCAGGATGGACCAAGCAACTCGACCAGAGTGATTTATCTCATTGTCATTGTAACATTACCTATTTTGTTTTTGTTTTTTTTTAGTAATATTGTTTACAATCTATGGTTGGGGTAAGAGGTTGTCTTCAGCATTACATTGTGATGTCCGCTATATTATTATTTCTGAGGTTACATTAGGTGGCAGTGCTAACTAACTCCAAGTGGAAAGTTATCATTGAATTTGAACCTATTGATTAATGGGATTTATGTCAGAATTCTTATTTTATGCTTCAATATACCCCCCCCCCCTTACTTTGTCGTCTGTCTGTCTGTCTGTCTGTCTGTATCTATCTCCTCTCTCTCCTCTCTCTCTCTATTTCTCTCTCTCTCTCTCTCTCTCTCTCTCTTCTCTCTCTCTTCTCTCTCTCTCTCTCTCTCTCTCTCTCTCTCTAATCTCTCTCTCTCACTCTCTCTTTTCATCTTTGTAATTTGTGAAAGGTTGTAAGTCCTCGCCTGTACCATCCATTATATCATTATTGTACCATTTTATTAACATCACATTACAAGAAGTCTCTGAATGTATTTTTCGATAAGGTGTTGTTGTATCGTATTAAAGTAGTAGTAATCTGGGTTAAGTATAATTGAAGTGTTCATTGAAACTTGAACTCTTGTGTCATATGATCTATTTTTAGACTTCTGAATTTATAGTAAAATTTACTCTTGCATAAGCTATAAGGGAAAGATAAAGCAGGAGTCTTGTGTTGTGAGTGTTACACGAGATTCATCACTTGGCAAACATGGCAACTGTCATAGAGGAACCTGTTTCTGCAGGTGATGGAAATGATGATAGTTCCAGGACCTTTAAATAAACCAAAAGAGAAAAGGAGAGAAAGGGGGGCTTTAGAGCGTCGACGTAGTCAGGACTCACTTGATCGTACACAATGTGATACTAAACGTCCTTGGTGCACAGAGGTGCAAGAAGTCCTTTCTTCAAAGGATAGATGTGTTAAGCGAACTTCCCTGACAACACCCTGCTGCCTGCTAAGTGTGCATGGCTATGGAAGCGTAAACAAGATCCTTAAATCA